GTCAGCTTTTCCTCATCTACTGCAATCCATTGTCAGTATTCCTTTAGATAGAATTGGGGTCTGCTGTTCATTTTTCCTGTAGTATGTTGGGTTACTGTCTGGAAGAGCCTTTATCTATCCTAGCCAACAACTCGACTGAAGGTATCGCCTACATGAATTGTTTTTTAAGAATAAGAATATATTTTTAAAATGAATGACTTTTCATCTTTTAGCGTTGGGTTTCTTTTAGATTATATCAACATATGTCACTCGAAATTTAGGTTCTTTTAGTGTGTCTAAAACTTATTTTGCTCATTTGTTCAATGGGAAAAATGGTTATCATGAAGTTGTAAAATATAACTAGTTTGGGACTCGACTATTGATATGCAACAGCATGTAATTAGTGAATGCTTGCCAGATTGCTGAGCACCTTATTGAACAGTAGAATTGGCAAGAAGTATCTATGTCCCCTGCCCTTGAGAGACTTCCTGGGGATAGGATCTGAATCTGAAGAAATATATATAATAGAAAATAACTGTAGACTGATGGTCCAGAGTAAACACTCTTAGCATTCAATGAAGGGGTTGGAAACCAGGTAGTAAAAGCTTCATGGATAAAGATGAGTTTTAGCTGAGCGCTGAGGGATAGGGAGGGCTTTTGATATCAGGGACTGTGAAGGGTTTTCTCAGATGGTTGGGGGGGCAGTCTGGGCAAAGCCACGGAGGCAGGAATGTGCAAGTGTTCAGGAAATGCTGACTAACTTGTGTCTAGATTTAATGCTTTGTGAAGGGTCCATCCTGGAGCAGGCCCTGGACACAAAGCAGCCATTCTAGGGACATAAGCTGATGGTAGAAGATCTCAATTTCTTTTTATACGCCACAACTTTTATTGTAACTTGGCAAATTTTTTGAGGGTGGGGAGTTTGATCTCAAAATAATACATTTCATTTAAGGTTCTTTCATACAAAAATTGCCATCGTGACTGATATTCAAAAAGTCTTTTAGTGTTTCAAGGCTCATATGGTAAATATAGGGAACACACATTCATAAGTTAACTTCATTTAAATGTAATGTCGTATACTGGCATACTTTCTATAGCTTAAATGAATATGAATATGGATTTTAAAATCATTATTATCTGGATATCCATGGTCTGAAATTTGCTGTTATTGAATATTCAGAGTGAAGTAGACATTTCTCTCAATCACCAAGGCATTACTATTTTTTTGAAGGTCTGCTGTTATAAACATAGAAACTTCCAGTCTTACCCATTTCTACCTTATCATGGGTTCTGTCTCTCTCACATAGAACTCTAAACTGTAGTCACATAGGTTTTTCCTGGATGGATTATGCATTTATTATTTGTCGATATAGACTTTAACATGTCATGATATTGCTTTAAAATTTGTTCTCTCTATATAATATCTACGTGTGTGTGTGTGTGTGTGTGTGTGTGTGTGTGTGTGTATGTATTGTTGCTGTTATTATTTGTTTCCTGAGACAGGGTCTTCCTGTAGCCCCAGCTGGTCTGAAACTTGCTATATAGACCAGGTTATCCTTGATCACACATAAATCTTCCTGCCTCTGCCTCTTGAATGCTGGGATTAAAGGCATTTGCCACCATGCCTGGCTATTTTATATATATGTCTAGAATTCATAATACTGCAAGCTCCTAGAGGTCAGGTTTATATCTATTTTGATTTAATTCCCTGATCCTATCATAATGTGAGGTATACAACAGGCTCCCAATAAATGCTTAAGACCAAGCTTGATAAAGTTCCTATAGTATTATTACAACATATAAACCCCATAGTCACCCTACCAACAGGACAATAGCATCTTGTAAATGTATCTGTATACTAGTTTGTCTGGAGTCAAATGATGACGCTGATTTTAATTTAATGATTTGTCTTTATATAAGGTTATATCTTACATCTTCAAGTTAAAAGAGAACCTCTATGACTCTTTAGGGGTGGTTAACTCATAGAGATGTTGATATTCTGATTTTGAAGATGACGAATGAAAGGCATTTAATAGGGAGACTCACTGGGGATCACAGAACTACTTACTGAAAAGACCAATTCTGAGGCTACCTACTCAATTCCTTTTCTCACCTCAGCAGATTTTAGGGCAGGAATCCTGACTTTCCTGGTGAAGAACCACTTTTGCTTTTTCTAGAGGCTTTTATATCATATTTAAAAATATTTTGCTGTTTTTATTTTATGCATATGAGTGTTATGCCTACATGTATGTAAGTGCACTTGTGTCCTGTAATGCCTGTGGAGAACAGAAGAGGGCATCGGATCCCCTGGAGCTGGAGTTCTAGATGGTTGTTAGCTGTCCTGTGGGTGCTGGGAATTGAACCAGGGTCCTCTGGAAGAACAGCAAGTGTTCTTAACCACTGAGCCATCTCTCCAGTTCACATTGGTTTTTTAATGATGCAAGTTCAAGAATGAAATAGATGTGACGGTAAGTGTGGGTCTCTTCCTGAGATTTTTCCTAGTGAGTGCTCTTTCCCTAGAAACCAGAAAACAGGATAAAATTAGAGCTAGTCTGAAAGACTTCAAGACACTCTCACTCAGTTATCTCCTTTAGTGAATGAGGAAACCCAAGTTCCAAGTAGAACTCTGTCTTAGTTACAGAACCAGAGTCACTTGATTCTTAAATCACTTTGTTCAGTAAAGATGCTTTGTAGGACATTCTTCTTCCTAAGGTCACCACTGAGATGGCAGTGGGTGAAAGAAACACTCAGGATGACTTATCTCTTTGAGATCTTCAGTAACAAGTGAAACTAGAGTAGGGGAATGATCCTGCAATTGTGGGGGAAATGCAGAAAACAGACTGTTACATATGGAACACCATCTTAATGCTTTGTAGCAGATTTGGCTACTGAACTTCATAAGGTTGATAATAATAATAATAATGAAATCATGGGATGACAATAATAAACCCTTTGAGATGCTGCCAGAGCTACACATTTCAGGCTTCAGATGCCAGTGGGCAGCTGCTTGGCTAAATACAATCTCTAGTTGTCAAGGAGAGACCCACCCTGATACAGGAGAAACAAATCAACAATATGTGCAAGACATACACAGGGCAGAGCTACACTGTGGCAAAGGTTTCAAGTTAGATGCCATCTCCACCCTTAAGGAGTTGTACATGGAAAAATGTGTTCAGAATTTCAGATTTGACATAAAGGCATGCATGACTTCATGAATTAGTTTGTATAAGTTAGAGATCAAAGAAAATATCATGTTCTAGTCGATTATCCTGTTTCTAGTCAACTGGCTGACAGTTGTTAGTTGTGGAACCAGATACCTATAAAGGTGGTGTTAGGAATAAATTTGTGAATTTTTTTCCAAAAATGGTTTAGTTTCCTTAAATCTAGGACATAGGGTTTTGCTATCGACTATATAATTGTCAGAAACTGATGACTCTTACTTTAATGTCTTCTTTTAAAATCTAGAGTTAATTCATAACTAAAGTACCTCTCTATTAGGTCTGTTTAGAGGATTAAAAGGGAAGTAGCTTATTCAGTTTTTTATTTGTTCTGTTGTCCTTTTGCATGGTTAGCAGGACATAGGGAACAGGCCAGTTTTGAGTTCATAAAGGTGTACTCAGTATTCAGCAGTGGTGGAGCTGATCTAGGGGAGTGGTGGTCTGAGGCATTTGCAATACCTATAAATGTTAAGCTGAGATTTAGTTCAGATGGCTCACTTTGCAGCAAGAAAATAGTTTTGAAAGTCAAAAGTGTGTGTGTGCACACTTGTGCTTTTTTCTAACACACACTTGAAATGACACCAAAACTGGATTCAGAACCCAGAATACCCGAGTTCCTGATTTATAAAGTCACCAGGTTTGTTCCTGTGACCAAATGAGATCAAATGAAATGATTGTGAGACACGCCTGTTTCTGTTGGTAGTATAGCATGAGACAAAATGTCTTCAAAATCCTGTTACTAGATTTTCCCCTGAGCCATCTGCCTAACCCCAGTATTTT